GCTCTTAGCTGCACTAATGTCAATCTGGAGTGACTCCTAGTGAGCTGCCATGGATGAAAACTGGACATGGCTGGGATACAGTTCAGGCCCAAATTATTTCATGGTACGTCCTCATAGTGTGAATTATGTGAGTGCACTAAAGGAAACATAAACACTTCAGATTTTGAGAAGCAGATAAAAATTCAGCTTTCCTGGGGTGGTTTTGAACTATTCCTTGCAAAGGTGAAAAGAGGGTGTGGTAAAGCCACTTCCAACTTTTCCCACTGCCCCTGCTCTCTTCCAGCAGAGCTCAGCTTGTGTCACCTCCTTGGGTGGTTTTCACCTTGCCCATTGTGACCTGCGTGACCATGACACCAACTCCTCCAACCTGTGCCAAGGCCAACTTCTCCTTCAGGCCTTTTGGAGGAAATTCTCACCTCTCTTCCCTCAACAACAAATAAACCACTACATAGATGTTATTAAGAAAGTCCCAGGTGAGAGAATGGCCCCAACAAGCCCAGTGCTACGATGGAGCCTCGGAAAAGGGATGTTAGTGGGCAATAAGTGAAGGAGGACAAATTCCTGATTCTAATTTGCAGAAATCCCCCACATTAGGTGTGAGTTTCAGTCCCTCACGTACCACTGACTTATGACAAGGAATGAAGCTGTTTGGTGCTCTGTCTGATAAAGGATCCTCCATATTGCAACATAAGCCATAGAGGCACCTAAACTTTATTGACTGAAACAACTGGAGCAACCCCAAAACTCCTGCTAAAATGGAGCTCTCCTACAAGTAGGTCTGGTGAAAGGGGTAAAGAGCCTTTTCTCCTTTGCACCTCCTTTCTCTTTTGCACCTAATTGCACTTGTTTAATATGCAACACCCCATTTTCAAAAGGAGGGTGAGCAGTGTCCCCCCCCAGACCAGCCTGCTGACCTGTGCTGTTAATGGGCATTGGTGGGATGGAGAGGGCTGAGGTTGTCCTCAGGCTGTGCAGCACATCAAACACCCACTTCCCACCTCCTGGCATTTCCAGCTTTATGCCACAGGGAGATTTAAGGGATGTCAGTGACCAGTTTTGTGGCCAGGCTTGTCCTGTGCATGGAGCACTGAGTGGGTGGGATCCCACTGGGGAATTGGTCTAGGAATGGCTCATTTCTGGATGCTGAGGAGCTCATCATGACCTAAACCCTAGGCCACTTCCAGCTGACTGTGTCCAGGGCCAAGCCTGGGTCCCAGAAAATACTGCAGAACTGAAAGTGAAACGCTCTCAGCACCTTCAGACTTGGGTTTCTGCTATATGGACTCTTCAGGCTCTTTATGTTGATCTTAAATTGGTTTTTTTTTCTACATGGCCCTTAGTCCCTTTGATGTTTAGCTCCCAGTAATAAAATGAATATGTTAATATTCAGCCCTCTGCCTTACCTTGTGGTTTCTTTTTGGGTTTTTTTTTTTTTTTTAGACAGCATTCACCTCTGCTCTTTACTGGACCTGCAGTAATAAAATGCAAAATAATTATACCCAAAATAGGCCTGCAAATTAATCTATCCTGAGCAACACAGACTGCAGGAATTTTTTTAAAAAAAACTAATTATAAAACTTCAGGGAAATACCAGAACACAACCCTTTCATGTCCTGCTTGTGATACTGGGAAGGAGCCTGAGTCATTCCACTGCTGAACCAAATCCCTTTGCAGCTGCCTGCCCAGATGACCCTGCACAGATCTGACCTGTAATGAGAAAAATATAGTTAGAGACAATGTTTTGCAGACTCAGAAAATTAAAAAAGCATCATGCTGGTATTTGTCATTCTTGGGGGAAAAATGATAGAAATAAAAAATCCCCAACTGTTTGAAACATAGTGAATTTTAGTCTTTCCCATTCCTTTTTTTATTTTTCCCCACTCTGGAACATCTGAACAAGTAGCAAAGATTGTAAGAAGTGAGTTAATACAATTGTGTGCCTGGACATTGATGTTGCTTTGACTGAGTACTGTGTCTGTCCTAATTAAAGAAAACTTTTCCAGGGGGTAGAAATGCACTTGAGCCCTTGTATGTTTGTGTTGGTCACTTACTGCACATGGGAAGTTGTGGCTTTGCTTTTTCCTTCAGTGGGGATAAAAATACACATATTGCACTTTCAGCACTGCATTTCTCCATCAGTGGAGAGGGCAGATTTTCAGCAGCAGCCCCTTCTTCTTCTTCTTTATTTTCCCTGTTTTCTTTCTCTTTGAAAGGAGCATTTGATACTGATTCAAGATGTCAGAATGACACCTCTTTTTCACAGGCCAGAGGATGAGAGGGTGCCTTAGGCAGCTGCAGGGTGAGTTTCTCCCCATGTATTTGGCTCCAGCTTTGACATGACCCCCTGGAATTTTGCAGCCTCTGGAGCCAGAGTGAGCATCTTGGATTTGTGGTCCACAAGGGATTCTTGGAATCAGTGGGACTTGTTAAAAAGAGGTGTTGGAACTGCTGGGTCACCTGCTGACTGAGCAGAGATCCCTGCCCACGTCTTGTGAAGACACAAGGGACATCCTGTGACACAATGAGTGTCCGTAAAGGTGGGGAGGGAAGGATCTGGTTTCATCTTCACTATCATGAAAAATACTTTATCTGGCTCCATCCCCATGGAAAATGAGGCCACAGACTTCTGGTTTATCACGAGAATAAGTGGGAAGAAAGTATTTCCTTTCAGAATATGCTTTAAAAAAAAAAAAAGGTAAAAAAAGCCTTCTCTTTTTGAGTACCCACAAATCCCCAAACCTGAATCTGAGGGTCTTTTCTTCTTTCTGGCCTCTCCTGATTTTATTGCTCCCGAAGCTTTGGCATTCTTGTCACAGCGGTGACACCAGGCCTGAAGGAGATGGTGGCGAGGACAACCACTGTGCTCTGCCGGGTCCTTTCTGTCAGAGGGGACATCTGCTAAAACCAGCTGTGGCAGTGGCTTGTGAGTGATGGAGAGCTGGACTCGGACTGTGATTCAGCTCATTAAAAGCACCCTGGGGGCCGCTATGGTTATTTGCCCCCTGTAGTGTTGGCATTTTTGAGGCCAGGTCAGAACTCATTGCTCCAGGCTCTGTGCTGAGGTCCCTCTCTATATCCTTTGTCAAAGGACAGGCATTTAAGCTGTCCCTCATCTTTATCCACCATGGCAAAGGCAGAGACCTGTGTCTGAGCAGGCTCCCATCCCTGGGCTCCTCTCCCCAGAACAAATGTGGTCAGCGTGAAACAAAGCCCAGAGCAGCAGCACGTTCCCCTGCGAGCAGACGGAAAGTTTCAAAGGCACAAAGGGTATTTAGGCACCGACTTCAAAGCCAATAAGTTGGATGCTGAAAAAAAAAAATCTCCCCCGTAGCCTTTATGTCATGCCACTTAATAAGTAATTAAAAGCTCAAAAATCATGAGTCTGCTGCTTTCATTACTTCCTAAAGCACACTCGATACATCATCACTCTGTGAAATGCTTCACATGTACCGCATCCTACTTTAAATGTGCCAAACAGTGAAGTGCTTAGCATTACAAAGGCAAAGACATCAAGGAAGCTTTGATAAAATCTGCTGAGCAGACAAACATCTCTTTGGTTGGCACTAGCCAGGCTAGGTTTTTATTCCACAATGATTAAAAACATTTCGAGTGAAGGCAGCTCGGCTTCTATTTTAGACACAAGACCATTAGGTGACAAAGAGTGAAACCTTTCATTACTGGGATGCTGGTTAGAGGGGATTAACCCATTCGGCATGCACAGGGTACTGCCAGTGGAAGGCAAAGGTTTCTCTGAGATGGCTCTTTTCTGGGAAAGGGGACTAAAAAAGGGATGGATGGCTTTGCTGTGCTGCTGGCAGAGAGGAGATTGGCAAGATGATGGTCTGCTTGCAGGTCCCAAAACGGAGTGAGGTATCTGGGGTAGGTTTATAGGATGGGACACGGCTCTTCTGAGCCAGAAAGGCTGACATCTGTGCAGTTGCAAAAAGCAAATAGGCAGGGCTTTATTTTTTTCCCTCTCAGGCTGTTTGTGGTAGAGCACGTCTGGCTGTGAGCTCTGGATAGTACTCAGCATGGTGAAGTCCCAACAGTGACAGGGTGTGTTCCTGTGATATAAATAGACATTTAAGATGAGCTAAATTTACTCAGTGAATCATTTATTTGCTAAAAATGTGGTTTCAGGGTGGCCACGGTTATTTGCCAAATACGATGCATATTCTCAAATGTTTTTGGATTAAAAGCAAAATAATAATATTGAAATGTTGAAGCATTTCATTTTAGCATTTCCAGAAACATACACGTACAGATAAATATCTATCTCAAACTCTGTTATTCTCATGAATTATGAGGAACTATTCACAAAATGGAGGAGAAAACAATAACATTTCTCTTCCCAGCTTGCCCCAGCGTTTTCAGCATCTGATTGGGAAATCTCATGTCCTAGGAGAGTGCTCCCTACTGTGATAATGATGGGGTACTCTGACCCGGGTGCCTCTTGTTTTCTTCAAGTTGGAATTACTTCACTTTGTACGAATAATTAAATACCCACTGGACGAGAGCAAGGGTGAGGATAATTTTGTGGCTGGAGCACTCCCCTGGGATGTGGGAAGTCTCCCAACAGCTGCATCAATGAGTGGTGTTTATACAGAGTGGAACAGCTCCAGAAGAAAAGGAGAGGAGGAAGATTGTCCTGCAGCCTGGCTGAGGGAGACCCGGGAGATAATGACAGTGTAGGGGATGAGGCTGCTCTGGCACAGGGCAGGTGATTGTTGTGCAAAGTGGGATGCAGTTGTGTGAGCCCTTTCATGTAGGTTACAAAAATGTGGCAATTTGGTTCTTCCACCTCATCCCAGAAAGAGCACACTTTTTGTTTTTAACCTCAGAGAGTCTTTCAAGAAGGGGGGGAAATCCTTCCCACCTACTGGGAGAGTCCTCATTCAATTCCCCTCTATCCCTGAGGAGGGCTGGACTCGGGAAGCAATGATAACTTTTTATTCTGTGGTTGTGATAAGCTCTATTATCAACCCCCAACTTCACCAGCTCTTCCCAAACCTTCTGTGTGGAAGCTCAGCATCCACAGGTCACTCTGCTGGGGAGCAAGGACTGCATGTCTGCCACAGCAAAGAATAATTCAGGTCTCATTTTCTGGATTTACAGCAGAAAAACGTAAAGAAATCACAAGTACATAGTTATTCCTTGCAGTGTTGCGTGGTGGGGTATATTCAGAGTAGGTTAAAGCTGTGAGGGTCAGCAATTGCTCGCCTCCAAAAGGCAGGGATGTGAGCAAACTATCAAGTAACATGGAACATGCATATTTTCTAGCACCTGAAAAGCTTGAGGTTTCTGCAGAGCAAGCCACCACATACTTGTGGGATTAGGCATGTTAAGGAAAATGAGCTCTGCCAGCCAGGCTGTGCATACAGACTGACAAGGGCTTGTTCCTCTGCCTTGGCTGCATGATTGCAGACTCCACTCCACGGGAAAGAAGGGAGGTTCCTTTTTGCTCCTCGTTTGTCCTTGTGCAAGACTGATAAAGCCAGAGAGAAACCAATGTTATCACCTCGCAGAATAAATAGCAAGGGAGCTAAAAAAAAATGATATGTGGAAACTTTTATGCCTATAGACGTTGCTTATGAACAATTAACTCAAGCTGAGTGCAAACAGAATCTTTGGGAGCGGGTGTGTATTGGTAGAAATATTTACCAGGCCATTCAAACCTGGCTGGAAATAAAGCTGTGCAAGAGCAGCCAGGTAGGAGAAAAAGTCCTGGATGAAAAATGGTTTCAGTGCAGGAGGAAGGCTCACACCTATCAAGACATTTTCTGACTTTCTGTCCTCTGGGCAGTGGGATAAGGAAGTTTGGTGGTCCTTCAAGGGGTTATGTTTTATCACTCTGCTCAGTGATGTCCAGCTGAATGACATAATTTACTGTTCCTCCACTTAATGTGTGATGCTCAGAGCAAGCAGAGGTGCAGGTACTGGAAAGGAGGACCCACCTGCACTACAGGAGGGTCTAATTCAGGTTCACTTGGAGGGAGCATTTGAATCTGTGCAGAGCCACCCTTGTGCAGGATTTATTACTTCAGACAGGGCTCTGAACGGATTCTCTGAAGTGCTTCTATTTGAGCCAGTGTGTGTGGAACAGGTCTTAATTAACAGCCACATACAAGTTTGGGCTGATGCTCCACCTGTCCCTGCCCACTGCTGTCAGGGGAGCTGCTGTGCTGGGCACGGGAGGTTTTGGGCACTTTTTCAGTGAATGGAAGCAGAGGAACCATGAAACCCCTTTGGGCTGCTCTGGCAAGAACTCCAAATCTGCAGGGAGCTCTGTTTCTCCTCCTGCAGGAAATGGATGCGTTTTTGAGTGTTCTCTGCGTAATTGTGACCAAATACCACAAGGACATTCTCTTCAGAAGACATTTCATCATCCCTAATGTGATGTAACACCACGCTTCCTAACCAAACCATCCAGAGGCTTGTCTGTTATGAAGCGATTCCAGAAGAGCTACTTTACCTTAAGTTGCTGCCCCATCCTAATCCAGATTAATTTTTGTGTACAGTCAAACCCTCAGGGCCTGACTCAGGGAGAGCTGCAGTAAATGAGAATGTTTCTGCTGAATGCTGGATTAAGCCCGAGGTGCTTCTGGCTGCCTCTGCTTTAGCATTTTGGTTCAGAGCAGCAATGTTGTTTTATAGCAGCTTCTGGCTTGGCCTCCCCCACTCCTGAGTGATCCAGTTTGCAAACAGCTCTGATGCACACAATTTAATATTCTTTATCTTCTTTTTTCTCCTCCTCAGTGGAAATGGAACCAGAAGCTCTGTCACAACCCCTCCTAAGAGTGTAATAAATGAGTAGCTGGTCCTTCAGCCAGCCTCACACAGTGTGCAGGGTGGGGATTTTCAGCATAGGTAACAGGGATAAATCTGACCTGGAGTAACCACTGTGGACTGCACCTGGAGTAGATCTGGAGCCCACAGCACCAGCCTGTTTGTTCTCCTTGTACTCTCCTATTGCTGCCTTGCTAATCTAGTTGTAGCAATTACCTGTTAATCTAGATATGGCCTGTATGATGCATATCACTGTTGTATCTGACTCCTCACAGCCCTGCACTCAAGGCAAGATGACAACCTCTGCTTTGCAAATGGAGATGTGAGGCAGTCAGACAAGACAGGAAAGCTGTGATCTCCTGGGTGTTGGCCTGAGGATGGACTTTCTCCCCCAGCTGGCCCCACATGCCCACAGACTGCTCTGACACAGACTTTCTTTAGGACCTCTGTTAGGTCACCCCATCTCCCTGTGCCTCATTTGCCCTGGTACAAGGGATGGGAGAGTAACCTGGCTCATCTGTGGGGTGATGCCTCTCTGCAAGTGCCCTGGTTTTGGGGTGTGCTCCTGGCAGCAGCTCCAGCAGCACAGCCCCCAGCCCTTCTGCCCCACGCCAGCCAGCAGATCCCAAACAGCTGGGATCAGGACAGTTTGCAGATTAGCACAGGCCAGGATCCACTCCCAAGACAAAATTTTCACGTGTCTGCCATACTGCAGAGCCTAAAGGGGTTTAATGGACACAGGAACTTTTGTGTTTGTGGTCTGAGAGCCCACAACCAAGTCTCAAGAAGTATTGACTTACTAGCACAGATGTAGCATTATCCAGTAATCCTTTGCCACCAGGGTCTTTCCTGCTTTGTATCTAGCAGACAAAATGGAATAATGTCTAGGCTTAACTGGGGACTACCTTAATTTAACAGAAAAAAATAATCTTTTAAACCTGCCCTGAGTGATTTCCCTATCCCCACATATTGGCTGCAAACCTCAGCCTTTTCTTCTTCCCATCCCGAGGAGCAGTAAAAATAGGTAATCTTTAATGAAAGGTCAGTTATTTGGGTTAAAAGCCATGCTGGGATCCCGGGGGGAGGGAGCTGGTGGCTTCCCAGGGCAGGGGTGCCTCCACCGTGGCAGCCCCAGCCCCTGGTGAGTGATGCTGTCCCCAGGCAGGAGGGGAGGAAAGCACAGCGAGACATTCTGTGCTCTCCCGGGCTGATTACTGCATTTATCATGCTCCCAAAACGTTTCTCTGTGAAACTGGAAACAGGACAAAGTCAATTATGTTATTTCCCAACAGCAAGCCCCCGTGGGACAGGAACTCAGATCCTGCTGCAGCTCAGACAAGGGCCAGAGTCCCACTTGAAATTTCTTTAGCCATGGTGACATGGTCACAGCGATGCTTTATTCTGCTGCATTAAACACCATAAGGATTTTTATTCTTGAAAACCATGTCCAAAAGAGAATAAATCACTGGGTTGCCTCTGCTGTAGGCTGCTGAAACTGAAAAAAAAAGTCATCTCCACAAGTTCTTTGGGAGATCTACCTGGTTTTTGTTGTGTTTGGATATTAACTCCTCTTGGGGGGCACAAACAGAGGGAGGAAAAGGGTTTCAGTATTGGCACCATACCAGGAGTGTGGAGGGCAGGGGTGGATCAGATAAGCAGAAATCTAAGACCATAAATACCTCTGTGTCACTGCAATGTGAACAGCAGAAAATCCCCCTGGAAGAGCAAAGTGGATGTGTCACTAAAAGCAAGCTGGACAAAACTACCCTGATTTGAGAAATTCAAGCTTTGAGAAATGGCTGGTGCTCAGGAGTCCCCCAGCCATGCCTGTTAATTACCAAAGATATTTATTTTTAACCTAAGGCTGGCTCCCTCCATTACAAAACTTTGTATGGGACCGACATGGCACAATTGGCCAAAAACCAAAACCACTTGAATGAAGCCTTGCCTGCCCTTGGGGATGTCCCTGGCTCACCCCTCGTGCAATGAGGCTGCTGTGTCCAAGCTGGTAAAAATCTGAGTGGGAGTCACAGAAGCCTCAGGGTTTGTGAGCTCAGAGTTAAAGCCAGGGAGAGAAGGGATTAGGTTAATGTGGGTGAGCTCCTGGTGTGGGGACAAGGATGGCCCTGCCACCACCTCTGTGGTTCCCCCCATGGGTGGCCAAGGTGATGTGGTGTCACCAATGGGACACTGATCATGTCACTATGCTGGACAAAAGCAGTCCCATTGTGGGTCCAGGCCTGCCCCATCTCACATCACCAAGCAACACAAACCTCTCTCCTCTCCATTTCCTCTCCACACTCCTCTGGTTGGCTGCCAGCTCCATCTTGGCAAGAGCCCATCAGAAAGACCAACCCATTCCTCAGCTTTAGTCCTGCAACCCATCCTTCTTTCAGGGTGACATCTTATGTGATGGAGAGGAAGGAGGACAAGAGTTTTGTCATTCAGGGCATGTCAGAGATGCTACTGAGAGCACAGAGAGGAGAGGGAAGACAAACCAGACCTCTAGTGAACGTCTCCTGCAGCAAAATAAACAATGGCATCTCAGCCAAGAATATCCATTCTTGTGTCTCCAACACATGTATTTCACATTAGATGACATTTTCCTCCCTGAAAACTGCAGTCCTTTCTAGGGAGCAGGGAGAAAATGACTGCTGGCCTTACTGTGGCAGACAGGGGGTGAAACACTTAAATGCACCTCTCCCACTTTGACTTGGTGTTCTGGAGAGCAAGAAAAGTAAAACACCTGTATTTGTGTGTCTGGTGGCTGTTGGAATTTGTGGTATTGATGATTTTGAGATTGTAAAAAGTCTCTATTTCTTTACTTTGTTGTTAAAGAAGAAGTTATAATTTTTCTGTGCTGGTTTTTAAGGTTGTTTATTTTTGCTTATTTATAATATAAGCATGTTCTGCTGCCCTGCCACAGGTTTGTCCTGCAGGGCAGTGTGCAGGGCTCTGCCCTCAGTGGGATGTTATAAACATTAAATACCAGAAACTACCTGTGCTATATTTACAATAATGTGCCAATATCTATTATTTATATTGAACAGTGTGTCTCTAGCTTAAATTAATAGAAAAATGCTAATACTACAGCGAAACATGGAGGGCATGAAGAAGGAGAAAAAGGACAAGGCACACCCAATTTCCTCAATCTTGTCCCCTTTGAACCCCTTATCTAGAAACCTAAAATTTTACTTTTGCACCTGTGCCACACTTAATTATTACTTATATCAAACCCTCAGAGATTGTAATTCATCCTGTAATATTGAAAACTCTTTTCCATGGACAGAGATCACAGACAGTGTCTCTGGGGGCTCTGTCCAGGGGGGTTCCTGACCCCTGCCAGGGTCCCAGACCTGCCAGGGCAGCCAGAGGGAAGCTCTGGATTCCCACAGGTGGCCAGGGAACATGGATGGACATACTGGCACCTGTCAGAGAATCACAATGGTTTGGGTTGGAAGGGGTCATAAAGATCATGTAGTTCTAACTGTTTCTACTAGACCAGACAGCTCAATAGGCCCATCCAGCCCGGCCTTGAACACTTCCAGCAAAGCGACATCCACAACTTCTCTGGACAACCCGTTCCAGTGCCTCTCCACCCATCCTGGACATGCCCTGAAGGCAGTTTTCCCCCACTGACCCAGCTGTACAAAAGGTCTGGATCATTCTTAGCCAGGACATCACAGGAGCTTTGTCCTTGGTAGAGAAGTTCCCCATGATGCGTCCCCTTTCTCCTTCCTAACTTCCCATGCTTGTGGAATATGAGGAGTTTGCCCAATTGGACAAAATTTCCTGGCACCCCCAAATCCCAGACAAGTAGCCATGGGCTGTGGTCACCCTGCAGCCCATGGGCATTTATTTGGGCACATCAAACCCCAGCTCCTGTTTTTATGCCATGGCCATGCCATAAGCACATGAACTCAATGGGACCCTTGGCTTTGGCAAAATATGACTGACACCCCACCTGCCTCAGTGCTGCCCCAAATAAAAGCACTGCAACACACAAAGAAGCCACAAAAGCCAAATAAATGCCTTGAGCTGCAGAAAAACCTGGGAAAAGCCATTCCTTTATGATGGTATCGGGAAGGCATGCAAAAAACGTGGCCATGAGCAGGTCTCCTGAAAAGAGAGAGAGGGAGGAGAAAAGGCATGGCTTCTCTTTCCTTATAGTTCTTGAAAGCAGAGCAATAATCATGCCCTACCATGTGTGCACTCTTCTAGAAAAAAAAAAAAGAGAAAATAAGGCTGAGATGGCTCTTGAGTGTTCCTGCCTGGCACTGGGGGCAGTCAGACACTCAGCCAGTTTCGTGGCTCACACTCATTAATCAGGCCCATGAATCATCAACTCACAGGCCCCAGCAGCTCAGCCCCTGCCTTTTCCATGCAGACATGGGCTCTCTGCCCCTGTTTTCCCTTCTCCAAACCTTGAGCCAGCAAGAAGCCCATGCAATTACTTCCACACCAATTATCTGTCACACCAACTCCTCTGTCTTCCAGGTGACTCCATTGAAAACAGTGGAATGGCAGCT